CTCTGGTTTCCATCTCTGCATCTCTGCTAGCTGACAACCCCAGTGTTTATGTCATTGCTAAAGTCTGTGAAAGGCTGAGTGGTTGTCAGTGGGGTCACACCTATTTTTCTCAGCCTAATCGCATGTTTATTCAACCAAAGTCCATATTTGGAAGCAGTGAGCAAATAGAAAAACATTATAGAATAGCAGATAATTTTTTAAACTAAAGACCCTATGCGAGCATAAGGCTAAGTAAACACGACTTAGATGCATTAAAATGGATTGCAGCCAACCTCTAACTGTCCTTCACAATTTTTTCTTGTTCTCCCTCACATGGTCCCATTGGATCATTGCAACAACCTTGAGGAACTTCAGTCTCAAATAGTCGTTATGCCTATTTCACAGCTCAGGAACCTGAGTTCCAGAGAAGTTAAAGTGGTTTTCCCAAAATCACAATTCTAAGCAGTAAACTCTATATTTAGAGCTAAGTTTTTTGACTCCAGAACCCATATTGCTTTTAATATGTCTGGCTGCCTTCAACTAAATGCATAAACCATTACCGTAGGACAGACTTTCAAAACAACAAATATTTTGCTGGTTTTTAAAATACCGTTGGTAGCTGCACAGAGCACCAAAGTCTGGCAAATTTGGCAAAAGAGCAGATGTAGGGCCAATGCATTTCATAACTGAAATCCCCCGGGTGTTCACTCTTGAACTTGACCTCACTAGTCATAAAGCTTCTCAGTTGTTTTGTTCAATTTATGCCATGAACTTATTTTGGGAAATGTAAATTCTTGGACATCAAGAAAATACCCATCACCTAGATTCTACAATTAACATTTTATTACATTTGCTTTACCACATATTTGTTTGTATTTTCCTTCCTGTTCCAACCTGCTGATCCACATTAGTTTTCTGAAGTTGCAGACATCAGTAAACTTAACCCCTAAAGAGGTCAGTGTGCATATCACTAGCTAGGGTTCAATATTTGCTTATGGTTCTTTCTTAAGTAAAATTTGTATATAATCACATGCACAAATCTTCAGTGTACCACTCAATAAGTTTTGCCAAATATGTACACCCATGTAACTCAAAGCTCTCTCTATAGAGTATTGCCCTCAGCCCAGAAAGTTCCCTCCCCTCAGGCCTCTTCCCAGTCAATTCCCTCCTGCTATTTACTACTATGGATTAGTTCTATCTATTCCACGACTTCATATAAATGGTGTCATACCGAATTTACACTTTTTTATTAAGGGTTTTCTTGCTCCTGATCCTGTTTTTGAGATTCATCCATGTTATTTCGTGTATCAGGAGTTCACTCTTTTGAACTGTTCAGCATTACTCTATTGTAGGAAGATACTAATTTCTTTTTCCACTTTCCTCTTGACAGATACCTGGCCTATTTCCAGTTTTGGGTTATTCTAAATAAAACTACTGTGAATACTCCTATAGAGAGCTTTTGGTAAAGGTTTTTATTTCTCTTGGGTAATTACCTAGAAAAGGGATTGCCAGGTCATAGGGCAGGTGTGTGTTTAGTTTTTATAAGAAACTTCCAGAACTATTGTTAAAGAGATTGTACCAATTTAATCCTTGCCAACAACACAGGAGAGTCTTTGTTGCTCCACATAATCCTCAATATTTGGATTTGCAAAATAAGAATATTCAGTATATTTTTTATATTGCCATTCTCAAGGGGTGATTTAGGCGATATTCACACTCCCACCCATCACTGTAGCAGTTCAGACGCCAGATGACTAAGACGTTAAGTCCTAATTCTCATCCTTAAGGAGTTGATTGAAAATTTCAGAATTTGGCAGTTATTTTCAATGTTTTGCATTCAACTTGAACTCTAAATCACTAAACTATTGTTGAAGTTCATTTTTAGAATGTCTTCCTATAATTACTAAGGCTTTCAAAATAATCAAAATGGTCAGTTTAGCTCTTAACTTAAGCTCATAAAAAATAATCAGCCCTGGCTGGTATAGCTCAGTGGATTGAGCAGCGGCTGAGAACTAAAGGGTCACCAGTTCAATTCCCAGTCAGGGCACATGCCTGGGTTGTGAGCCCGGTCACCTGTAGGGGGCATGCGACAGGCAACCACACATTGATATTTCTCTCCCTCTCTTTCTCCTTCTCTTCTCCTCTCTCTAAAAATGAATAAATAAAAAAATTAAAAAATACTCACCACCTAGTCACTAACTCAAAATTTCCTTAAGTGAATCAAGCAAGCATCTCTCACCTCAGAGTGAATCTCACGGACCTAAACTTTAAGAGGAGTGAATCATTGTAGACTAAGCCTGAGGAATACGTGGCAACTCCAAGTTAAGTTACTGCCAGTTCCTGGAGGAAGTCCTAGGCCTAATTTAATTTAACGTAAATGTTACCGTTTTCTGGCTTTTCCTCCGTTGTCCCTGCTCTGACCCTTGCTCTTGTGTGATGAAAATAACCTAAATACTCTTAATGCTTCTCAAAAATGTGTTTCAGTTCACTGCTTGTAACATTAGACATATTCTAACCCATCTGACAATTTGTCTTTTAGTGAATCTTTAGTAATTAGTAATGCAGCTTAGTGCACTAAAATGGGAGAAACAAACTATACAAGTCTTGAGGCTAATGTAACCTGCTTGAGGCCTCCTGAAACACTGACATGAAATATAAATTTTCTTCTGCTCTTTAACTAGCTGCCCTCTTTCTCTATACCTCAGCTTTCCAAGATTGCAAAAGCTAATCTATGAGTGTGGGTATGAAGTTTTTCAAGCAGGAAATTTATAATGCAACTTTAGCATCAATTAATTTGTGTCCGGCAGATTCTATTTCTGGTGGCACCTGTTTACTTCCTTCCCATAATAGTTAGGGTAAAATGATTCCACCGTTTCTGGAATCACCATTGGTTACAGAGGCATTAGGGAGACAGCCCCCGAGGAAATGTTATGAATCCGGCATTGTAATCTCTATTTTGATTTGCCTTTCTACAGAAGCACTTAATCCATTGCTTTATCTCTCTATGTCTAAGTATAAAATAATAAACAAACATACTGGCTCTGAAGATATATTAATACAGACTTTTTAAAAATTATGTAAAATGTCATCTACATATGAGGTTTGCATATTTTTGGAACTAAGCCACTAGGCACATATTTTATACTTATGAAGATAAGAATAGTCCATGCCTTCGAATGATACTGTACTGGCTACTTGTCCCACTGATCAATGTACAATTCAGACAACAAATTTATTATAGGGTTTTTAAAAATTTGCATATGAGCCACCAGGGCCAATGTTATACATAGGTGACAATAGGCAGCTAGAATTGGGATGACGAAGCAGCACAGAAAAGACCTTCCTGCATTAAAATATTTTTCCTCTAACCCGTCTTTGAGAGGAGGCATGACCTTCAATTTTTCTTTGAAAACCAATGTATTAGCAGGTAAGGTGCAGGAGTGACTTTTCATTACACAAAGCATTCATGCCCATTATCCCTTCAGGGCCCAGCAGGGCCGTGAGGGGATGGCACAGAGTCAGAGGCATTTTGAAAGGCTGAGATGATATGAAATAATGAGATGCAGTTCACCTGTGGCGGAGGAATGTGGGGGAACAGCTTGAGGCTGAAAGGCACCTATGGGAGGAAGCTCTGAGAGAAAATCTGGGAACTTTCACCCAAGATACACTTGCTCCCAGTGTTGGCCCAGGGCTGCAGCCATGAGACACAAATGAGAAATAAGGTCGTTTTTTAAATTTTTCAGATAAAGCCACATTCTGCAGTAAGTCCTTTTGAAACACTTTGTTCTTTCTGACACAGGAAAGACGGTGACGGCACGTCACTGGTACTAAAGCAGAGAAGGCTGTGCATTTCTTCGTGTTATATAAGCCATACAGTTTGCACACTCTGGCTCATCTACTAAATAAGTATTGAAAATGCAAACTGTCATTGTGAAGCTCTGCGTAAATACAAATTGTTTTGACTGTGATTCCAGAACTTAATCACTGAAGCCTCCATCTTTCCCCAATAATCACCTCAGACATTTTGCCACTGACCCACTTTACAGAGGCATCAAATATAAACACTGCTCAATTTAATCAGACTTCACTGCACTTTAAATGAATGGGGATAGAACTAGAGATAACACATTCGGTCGACTGACAGAGTTCACTTTGGTTTCTTCCACTTCAAATCTGTCTCTAAACTTTATCCCTTTTGTTTAGTTTGCTTTATTCAGCACGTGCTAATTTACTTGCATGTAACAGTTTCATTGTCAACCCACTTCTCTCTTCTTATCAAAGTACAAAAGTGATCCCTCCCTATTTTATCGTATTTACATTTATATGTTTTATCATAGTTAATAAAGGCTCAAGGACTTTAAAATATGTTTTAAAATATAAGTTGAGGGTTTATTTAGCATTAGATTGTTAGGCATAATTGTAAGTTGTTTTATTACTTTTCTCCTTTTTATAAAAATTTTATGTCTTCATTAAAGACATTTGGCCTCTCATAAATTAACCATAGCAAACAATAAGGGAATATCCTTTAGACTGAGACAAAAGCCCTTGATAAAAATAACTTATATCTTAGCTCTCTCATCATATTATGCAAAGGTCTTAATGTTAAAGAACAATCTCATCACTGACAATCGAATATCTCTTCATTTGTTTCTCTGAAAATAAGAGCTTTTAATCTCTTCTTGCAGTCTAGGATATTTTTATGGTTTAAACATATTTTGGAATTTGTTCCAACAGTGAAATTGAAAATATCTCATATTTTCAATTACTTAAAACATTTATGATTTTAAGCTCCCAGTAGAAATCTGTAGCTGAAAGAGGAAAAAAATAAGAGCTGTTAGTCAGAAAGACACTTATGTAAGAACTATGACATTGGTCATTGGTTTGAAAGCAGGAAGTGCTAAATTTTAGATGCAAAGCTTTAAGGAGGCTTTGTTGAGCATTTTTGCCTCCAAGAGCGAAGGCAAATGGCTAATGAGTGAAATCCTGAGAACAGTCACAGCTTTTCTCTTATTCTCTTGCAGCCCGGAAGATGGTGAGATCCACCCAGAAATCTGCCGGCTTTATATCCAGCTGCAGTGTTGCTTAGAAATGTACACAACAGAGATGCTAAAGTCCATCTGCCTGCTGGGGTCTCTTCAGTTTCACCGGAAAGGTATCTACACTTCATACATCACCCTAAAGCCCGAGGAATGTTCAACAAAAACTTATCTTTTGCAAAGCACCTATGTGCACCATATGTTTATCTACACACAATTAGAATGGATATAAATGTTCCCGAAATGTGTCATATAAATTAATAAGAAGTCAAGACCAATTCTAAGTACATAAGAACACTAATCTCCTTGAACAGAGATTGTGGTAGAAATAGTTCTCAATTTATTATTTTACCACTTTTGAACATGACTTTGGTTAGAATCAGCATAAGCATCAAAAATATATAATGATCTTACTAGGCTAGTAAATGCTATCCAAGGTTGCTGCTACTATCCTAAATGAATTAGGTTGCAAGAAGATGAATTACATATTGTATTCCAATAATTTAAAAATAGGGAAAACTCAACAAACAGTAGGGAGGCATATTAGTACTAGGAAAATCTCATTACCAGGCTTAAACTATAAAGGGATTATATTGGCTGAAATGACTGAAGCCTCCAGCAGTGGCAGTAGCTTCCGAATGGTTTGATCAGACTATTGACCCCCATTCTCAGTGACACGCTGCCCTCCCCGGCTTAACTCTTAGGCTGCCTTTCCTCACATTAGCGAACTGATTGCAATAGTTCCCATTATAACACCTGCGCATCACAGGATCCATAATAAGATAAAACTTTTCCCCACTAGCAAACACCCTAGGCTTCATTCTGATTGGACCAGGTCAGATCATGGGTCTACACTTCAACCAATCACTGTAGCCAGAGAGATGGAAGTATACGGGCTAGTTTAGGCTATCAAGGCCCACTCCTGGGACTAGCAGAAAGTCAGCCCCATCCAACCAGTGGCTATTCATGTGAGAGGGCGGAATGGAGTGAACACTGGGAGGAAGCCAGAAGTTCCAATACTGAAGGATTGAACCTATATTTTCTTCACTAATTCATCCAACTATAATTTATTGGGAATCTTCTGGATGCAAACATTTTGTGCTTGAGCTCAGGAGAATAAAGAGTATGCTGAATGAAATACTTGCCTCTGATTTAACTTTAGAGACAGAAAAGTAAACAAACTAACACTCAGGGAAAACCTTGTAGAAAGGGTGGGACTTCAGCTGGGTGGTGAAGAGAGGGTTCAGGTAGGGAAGGAAAAAGGCATTTCAGGTGAAGAAACAAAGTAGAGATTTGAAGTCAAATAAGCATGCAATTTGAGGGGAACTAAATGACATGATGACATGCTTAATACAATTCAAGTCTCGTGCACACGCACACATGTGCACGCGGCAGGACTGACACAAGGATTACACTTGCTCCGAGGAGAGAACACTTTCTCTATATATGAATATTATTTATTTTCCTCTGCACCCTAAAGGCTGACCTTGTAAGTTTCTATCTTTACTTCTGTTACTAAGACAAGTGAACCTGTTTGGAGAGATTAGCTCTTGGCAGCCCTGAAGCCTGATCAGAAAATGGAGTATCAGACACACTGATAAGCTCCGAACAGGTGGTCCTGGCCCAGTGTCTTTGGTTGTTCTCCCCATTTGTTCCTGTCTCTGTCTGTCTGTCTCTCTCTCTCTGACACATACACATGTGTTCACACGAACACACTGACAGAATACAGAATTCTCATCTTGTTTAAACCTGGGTCTGCTTAGCGGTGCGCGCAGTGCCTCATGCCCATGTGGCCCCTAGAATCTCCCTTGCTGATGACATGACCTCCACACCCAGTTGTCTCCCTCTCACTCCCACCCTACCTTCTCGGTTTGCCACCTGGGAAGTTGCGAGTTGGTCTCCCTCTGCCGTTCGCTCTCACTTGTTGTCTTTTCACATTGACTTTTTAAAAATATTTTTATTTATTTACTTTTAGAGAGAAGGAGAGAAACATGGGTGTGTGAGAGAAACATCGATTGGCTGCCTCTCGCACACCCCTATCTGGGGACCTAGCCCACCCAGGCATGTGCCCTGACCGGGAATCAAACTGGCAACTTCAGTTTGAGGGACGACACCCAACCCACTGAGCCACACCGATCAGGACACCACTGACTTTTGAAAAGAAAACACTTGTCTACTAGCTCTGTTTAAAAGTAAAAGGGTTCCCTCATACAGATTTCTTCCTTAATGTATTTGATCTTGAACACACAAATAAACGCATCGCCTCTCCTCTGGTCAGTTCATTCGGTCTTCAGTGCACTCTGTCTTCATCGTCAGGATCTGACCTGCTTCTTTCCCTTCCTCTTCTTTTATAAACGGTAATCCCTGCTCCCGGTCCCCTGCTCCGGTGCCCAACTTATATACAACTCTATAAAGAATACACTTGATACACTATCATCCCTTGGGCTAGGAAAGGGGCCTGTCTAGATGGCCTCATTAAGTCCTTCAAGAAATCAGTGCACCACCAATCACCCAGTGCCCAAGTCATAAACCTCTCTTTTCTCATTCATTGGTTTAACAGATATATATAGCCAACTGCAATGTAGTATTAGTCATCCTTAAATACTACTGCCTTAAACCCCAAATTTAATCATTTACAATTCATGTTGCTTGTTAGCTTTTCTAAACAACTCTCCAATCTCTCGTCCATGTGTTCTCTTAGGTCACCATCAATGCTAACCTATAATATTACAGGTTTATCCCCTTGCTTTCTATGTTCAGAGACAGAAGGGGAGGAGAGACAGAGGGTGAGAGAGGAAGAGAGAGATGAAAACCAAATAGTTCTTAGAGGTTCAGGGGAATAGTAACAAGTTCTAGCCTGTAACCCTTGAAATTTCTTTCTGCTTAGAATCCTTTTCTGGTATGCTTCTTTTAGTGCTATTATAAAAACTGATGCTTTGGTAACTTTTAGGTTAATTTCTCTTACAAGTTGGTCATTCCTCTCTCCTTCAGTATTTCTTTCCCATCAAGGAAAGAAAAAGAATTGTAATTGAGTCATTAAGCAGAGCTCAATAAGAGTCTCTGATCAATTTTTCTTTGAGATTAAATACTGAAACCAAATTGTTTCACAGTTATTTTTATTTCTAATCGCCTCCCTGGCTGTCACCAGAGGTCCGGCAAACCTTGCATATCACATTTAGTTTTGCTTTCGCACTGAGTAGTGATGAGTTTACCCTTTGGAGGGCACGCAAGGTCACTGTGGATGCAAAGAGCATGGCTTCTTCCTGGAAAATGTAAGCCTCGAATTATTTTAAAGTTTCTGCAGTGAGCATGAATTTAGTAATGAAGATTGTCCTTCTCTCCCAATTAAGAAAATTACAATTATCCTTAGTCCTTAACAATATCTTTAGAGTAGCTGCATACCTTTTTGCATATACAGTGCTCCTGAATTTTTGCTGTCTCATAAGTTTGATGGGTCCAGTCTATTACTTGGAAATCTTTTATACTTAACAACATCATGCTATTGCCAAAAAAAATGAAGAATAGCGGTACTAAAGTGATTTTATTTTTTTAATGGGCAACACAATTAAATTAAATTACTGAAATGTGAGGAAAAATCCACATTTAATAAAGGCTATTGAGTTACCCCCGTACAGACTGCGGTTCTGAAAAACTGTTTGTTTCAAGGAGACAACAGAAGGGAATAATTTTAGATGTTTGGTAGTCTCATATTCTAACGCTTCAAGTTGCAGATTGGACCGCTACTTGACAAAGTCTATTTCCTACGTTTATAGTGAAAAATAGTTGCTCTCACTTTTTCACAGCTAGGTTGGGAGGAAGTCTTTTCCCATAACTTAGTCCATGTTTCACATTGACCATTAATGCCTGTTTCCTGACACCAGATGAAATGAGATTGCAGGTTTCATTCATGCCGTTGGCAGGCAGCGGAACCAGGTTTCTAAGGGAACTGAGTGATCCTGCCCCTGTGGTCATGGCTTTCCTCTTCCTCATGCTCTCTCCATTCAATCAGTTTTAGCATCATTCCCATTCTGAAAGAAGCACAAATGACAAGACACTCCAGAGCAGCTCCCTTCCCTGTGACCTTTCTCTTTCCATCTCTGTTTCATCTCACTTCACCCGTCTGTGGCTGTCTCTCACTCTGCTCTGCCCCTCGGCTGTAGCTCCAGCAAAATTGTCTTTTGGTCCTTGGAGGGTGTATCATTTTTCCATCTTCTCCCCCAAAAGAGGCTATCTCCCTGACATGTGTCACCAGGATAAATACGGAGATAAAAATATGCAAGGGGAAATGTACTTACAAAAGGGAAAGAATAGTAAAGTGTTGGAAGTTGAAAAATCTTAAATCAAAACCCCGTGGGAGCTGAGAGCTCCAGAGGCTCTGAGGAGAAATTAATGAACCGCTCTCCAGCAACAAACAGGATGGACTCAAGACAAGGAGCAGACTGTGCCCGTTAAAGACTCCAGTGCATTCAGCCCGTATTAAGAAAAGGAAATGACCCACACCAATAAAAGAAACAAGCAATGTAAAGACAGAAATGGAATGTGTACACACAAGTGAAGACCTTATTATTTTCCAATGTAATGAGGCAGCTGATACTAAAACAGTAGGTTAGAAGAAATGAAGCAGACTAAATCTTAAAATAGACTGTGATTCAAGTTCTGAGTGGAAACATGCATTCTTCATTCTTTGAACAAATATTTACTGAGCACCTGGCACATGTAAGCCACTGCTGTAGGGCGGTGATCAGCTAAAGAGATGCACGTTCTTGTGGACTGCATGGTCTAGTGCAAAGAAATGGGTTTTAATGTTCAAAAAATCCCAAATATTAATAAGTGCTATGTCAATAATGAAAATAGAATGGGCGATGTAAGAGTCACTGGGTGCTCTGGAAGAGATGGTCAGACTCTCTGAGGAGGTAGCAGTTAATCTGAGGTTTGAGTGACAAGAGGAAACGACCGCATAAACATCGGTATCTAATGCAAAGGACCCAAGACCAGAACACACTCACACTGCTTGAAGATAATAAGCACGACCAACTTCTGAAATCTAAGCATGATATAAAACTATCTATCATTGTTTTATCTCCATGTCTACATATGCCAAACAGTCCAACACCAT